CCCGCCTGTATCTACACCCCTTTCTCCTTTCCCGCCAACTGTCCTCCTTTCTGTTCCCCCAGCGTGTCATGGCTTCCCCCACCCCAGGGCCTTTGCATACGCAGTTCCCTCTGCCTGAAATTATTCTTCCATGTTCTGCATCATTTAATACTCACTCATCCTTGCAATCTCAGTTCCGATCTCATTTCCCTGAGAAACGCTTTCCCCAGTGGGCCCCCTCCCTTGCTGTGCCCATCCCTCTATTAAACTGCCTTCTGTGGGTTGTTTATTTACAGCACTTTTTCTTAACTGGAGCCAGGGAGGAAATGGGACAGTGCTGTCTTGCATCCACAGGAGGAAACGGCCCTTCCTTGGGGTCCTAGCAGGCTGGCAGGACTGTGTTCACCGGGCCCTTCTGACCTGAGGCCCATTACCGGTGGACCACATTTAACTGGTCTCTGAAAAACTCCGGAAAAAAAAACCCCAAAACCCTCTGTGGCCCGGCTGTGCTCAGAACAACCCCTCCCCCCCCCGCCCGGCGCTTTCCAGGGCAGCTGGTGACCAGTGTGCGTGCCTGAGTTCTGCCGGTTACCCAGGGCCCTCGGCGGCCGAACCACGGTCAAGCCACCCCGAACCCTCACATCCGGGCCGCTGCAGGTCGACAGGCAGGCAGGCAGCGGGAAGCCAGGCTCTGACCGCCCCGCAGGCCTCCCCGGTGCTGAGCGCGGCCCCCCGGCCTTCCGGCAGCTGGGAGCCCGCCCCGTGCTGCCTTCGCCGCTAAAGGAGGCGCAGGTGTGGGAGGCCGTGTGCTGGGCGTGGGCCGGGCTGGAGGCAGAAATCAGGTGCGGGGCACGGGCCTCCTGGGTTGAGTGTCTTGACCCCCTCCTGACGCACTTAGTAGCCTCCACACCCCATACCCTGGATGGGAATAGGATCATTGGCCATGTACTGGGCTGACTGCTTAGGAAATGTTAGCTCTTCCAGTGGTTGCTAGTAAACCCTCGTGGTCGGTACCAGAAAGTGAGCATTTGAGGTGGGCCTGGGGGGTCCTGCCGGCACCCATGCCTCACTCAGCCCGAACCCCTTGGGTGCTGGGGGCACGGTCTACTTCCAGCCTCCCGCGGGACTGTCTCCCCCTTTGAGGCTGCTGGAAACCAGCTTGGCCGAAGCACGGTTCCCACAAGAGGGATGAGCTTTTCAGGGGTTGCATCCAGGTGGCATTTAATAAATACTACTGGACGAGGAAGCTGTCCATCACCCCACTGGACCGAGCTTGCTCATGGACGCCAGTGAAAGCCAGCCAACCTGTTGGAGGAAAGGGACAGTGTTGGCATTCGGGAGAGGTCTGTCGCTGGGGACTTAGTGGCCGCGTCCACCATGGGCGGGGGGCGGAGTCTCCCGCGCAGCCTGTCCCAATCCACCGCCTCGGCTCTGGGTCACCACGTGTCCTTGTCGTGTTACCACTGCATGTGAAGCAGGCCTCAGAGCTTTCCAGCCTGGGGGGTTTGTTTTTGATTTTGTTTTCCTGCCTGAAGAATGCTCTCTGGACTCCTCCCAAAAGCCCTCAGGACCACAGCGGGAACCGAAGCGAAAATAGCCCACCGGTGGGAAGTCTATAAGGACCTCTTCCACCTCTTGAGGGAGCACGGGCCTCCCAGATGCTCCTGCCCTCACATCCCCGTCCCCCTACCCCCCGCCCCCCAGTTGGGAAGAGAGGGCCAGGGGCCGTCAGAGGCGAGGGCAGGCCTGGGCTTCGGGGGACAGTCCCCTCCTGAGCCCTACCCATGGGCTGTGCGTTCTCCGGAGCTGAGCCTGGCTCCGGGGCATGGGGTGCGGGGCCGAGCAGGATGACAATACCGCACATGTGCGTGGGGCCTGGTACTTTTCCAAGGGCTTTTAAATGCATTATCTTGTTGGAGGCTCATTTGAGGCAAGGACTCAGAAGCAGCCTGGAAAACAACTGATTTACTGAATCCCGAGTGGAGAGGAAGCCCAATGCAACGTGTGTGCATGTGTGTTTGCTGAATCTCAAACCAAAACAACCTTTTGTTAAAGAACAAACAAATAAACAAGAATGCTGAACACCAATTCACCAGGGAACACAGTCTGAACAGAGGTTCTGGGCAGAGAATCACGCAGCAAATCCAAATTCAACAAACATGTACTGGGGGAGGGGTTGCTGGGGCCACAGATGTGCTCGGGAGGGGCCCGCCCGAGAGCTTTTAGGGGGCAGTGTGCACTGGGGACCAGGTTGACCTGGCTAGGCAGACTGCAAACACGGGGCCCTCAGGAGGGGCTGCAGAGAGGGGGCCGGGGAGGGAGCCCCTGCACGGGGCAAGAAGAAGGGGTGCATTTGGGGCATCGGGCCGTGCTGAGCCTGGGGGGGACGCTGCATTGCCTATGGGGGCGCACTGGAGGTTTCCTGGGGGGACTGCAGGCCCCATTCAGAGCAGCGCTGGAGTAATTCATCTGGGGCAGTGGCGGAGGGGGGGGTGGGGGTTTCTGAAACGACTGAATGGTCAGCATTCCCTGAATGGAAATGATTTCATCCAGTTTGAATTGCTTCTTTGAAATAAGTCCATTCCCCCGATTTTGGGGGGCACAGAAATGGGAAGTGACAGCTGGACATGCGTGTCGGAGTTCGGGGGTCAGGCAGGTTCTTGCGACCCAGGCCGGACAGGAGGTGCGGTTGCTTGATCGGCCACCCCTCACCTGCGCCAAGCGGAGACCGGGGGGCTGTGGGGACCTTGGCCACATGGGGCCCTCACAGCCCCAGGCCCACACTCTGTGTGTTCACAAGGCCACGCTGAAGGCCTGCGGTTTCTCCCTGCTCGAGACTGACTTCGGGAGCCCGCTGTGGAGGGAGCGGGGCGTGAAATCCTCCCTCTCACCTGGGCTTCCTGGCGGGGTCCTGTCGGCCTCTCCCAGCCCAGAGCCCTGGGCTCAGCAGAACTTTCAGGTCCTGCTCACCCTGCTCCCCAGAACTGCCCTGGGAGGGGGAGCTCGAGGCCTGCGTGCTGGAGGCCCTGGGAACACAGGCACTCACCACCAGATCGGGGGCTATGTCCTCTGATAGGGAGCAGAGTGGGGGCTCGCTGTCCTCCCACCTGCTTGCCAAGCCCCGGGGAAGCTGGCTGGCTCTCAGCCGGAAGCTGGGCGGTCTTTCCACCGCTGCTACCGTTTTCCCAAAAGAGACATTTCCAGGGTCTCGTCCTTCATTCCCGCCCACAGGGCGACATGGGCTCTGCTCCAGGCAGGTGTGTGTCACCATGTCCCTCACCCCCGGGCAGGTGCTGGGGACCCCGGGGCCCACCCGCAGGAGGTTTCATGGGCTGTGAGGGCCAGTGTTTGCTCCTCTGTCCCCCCCAGCGGAGTGGGGCTGCTCCCGGGACGGGGCTCCAGGATTGGCAGGCTCTCTGTGCAGGCAGGGGTGGATGCAGGTGAGTTCATCCGCGAGCACCTCCTCGGCATGCAGGTCCAACCAGCCGCCCAGTGTGGACTCTGCTGGGACTTTGCACCCACACCTTCGGGCCCACGAGCTGGGCGAGCTGCAAGCTACGACGGCCCATCTTCGACAGGCTCGTCTTCTTGGGCTGCTCGCCGGAAACCATGATCGCGTGGACCCACCAGTGCCCACCTGCCCCCCACCACTGGCCGCCCCCTGACCCTGTTGCTGGGGCTCTGGTGCGGCCCGGGGAAGCAGCCGCCCCGTCCTAAAGCCCTTTGGCCCTTGGGAAAGCAAGGCCTTTGGCGCCCCCCACCCCACCCCCCACGGTCCCCCGACGCCGGGCACGCAGGCCAGGCCCCGAGCCTGCAGCTGGTCCCCAGCTGGGTCCCTGGCCCTGAGGCTGCCTTTGTGCCTGCACAAGGGAGACTCAGTTCGTCCCCTGCTCCTTGACCCTGCATCCTGCAGCCCCCTGGTGGGGGGGAGCAGACAGTGCCCGGAAAGGGAGCTAGACCACCTCAGTGACCTCTGCCTCCTCCAGGGCATCGCGGGGAAGCCGGAGAGGGCTGCCTATTGCAAGGCCATTAAGCAGGCTAATGAACCGTGAAGGCTCCTGGCCCCTCCGGCCCCCCACGGTGCCTCCCCTCAGCTCACAGAGCCCGCTGCCCACCTACCACCTTGTGACTGCTATTATTGTCACTTAGCGTGTCGGGCCATGGTTTTCCCAGACAGGGCTGGGGCCTCAGAGCTGCTCCTTGCCTTTTCCGGGCCCAGCTAGCACCGTGCACAGCACGCACTTAATAAATATTTGCTTGGGATCGGGCCCAGAAAGTCACCTTGCTTTCCAGAGCTGGGGAAGGGACTTGGGAGTCTGGGGACCCTTGAGCAGGGCTGAGGCGGCCAGTGGGCCTGGGCACAGCCCGGTGACCTGCGTCCTGCAGCCGCGTTCTCCCCCTCTGTCCCCAGCAGAGGAAGTGTGGGTGGCTTCCTCCACGCCAGCTGGTGCCCGCGTCCCCGACAGCTTCCTCTGGGCCCAGGCAGCCCACTGGGATGGAGCCTAAGACGGGACAAAGGCCCTGCCTGCTCTCTCACCTGAGCTCCCAGGCACCCTGCTCACCTGCCACACTTGGGCCCGGGGAGGGGGAGTCTGCTGAATCCGTGTCCTTCAGCACCGAGGCTGTGCCCCGGGGCCTTTTGTGCTGAGGAGACACCTGACTCCACGGGGCACTCGCCTCGTGATGTGCTCTGGGGGGAGGCCGGCCTTCCCTGCAGACAGCAGGAGCGTGGGGGGCCCCCACAAAGCCCCGGGGGCCTCCGGTTGGAGTCTGCACTGTGACACCTCAGAAAACCAAGCCAGCCTGGGCCCGGCAGCCACGGCCCGGAGTCCCCGGGCCCCACTTCCGTCCCTTCCCAGGCCCCAGCGCTCTCGGCGGCAGCAAAAGCGAGGTTGCCAAGCTGCCTCTCGATGCAGGGTGCTGGTTTTCAAGGTGGGACTGCTGGAGCCTCGGAGCCACGGGCAGGCCTCAGGGTGGGTTTCTCAACCAGGGTGGGAGACAACGAGACGGAGGCAAAGATGTACTGTGATACAGCCATATTTACTTCAACCTCCAGGGAATCCTAAGGGCCCAGTGACTCCCCTTGGGCCATAAGATTGGGTTCCTGAAACAAGTCACGTTCACCCTTTCACGGGGGGCGGCGGGGGGGGCTGCCACTGCCCTGGCGGGAGCAGGGGCCTGAGCTCTCTATCATGTGGGTGCCATGTGTGGGGCCTGGGGCCAAAGATAAGGCCATGGGCACCCACTGTGGGCACTGAGCAGGGGCAGGAGGCCCAAAGGCCACCTGGCCAAGGCGTCAGGGCCACCCATGCATCCTGGAGCCTCAAGGTCGTGCGGAGGCCGCAGGAGGGAGCAGAGTCTTCGGAAACCAGCAGGGAGGCTGGAAGGTCACTGGAACAGCAGCGAGCCCCAGGGCTTCCCCCCTGCCCCGGGCCATCCTCCAGACCCTAAGCTGTCTTCTAAGACAGAAGAAGGAGCTGTTTCTATCACCATGACAACTAAAAATAAAAACAAACCAAAGCCTATCTTAAGGTATAATCTTCTGATTGCTTAAACTTAATCAGTGCAAAGTGAGGTAAACAGCCTTGTGTCACGGGGGGGCCGGGGAGTGGCAGGCCTCACACGAGCCTGCGCCTCTTGGAGTCCCTCTCCATATCCCCCTCCTGGGCATCCACGTCGCAGCCAAGTGGGGACACCAGGTTCAGCAGAGGGTCCTCGGAGGCCCGGCCGAAGAGCGCCAGCAGGAGGGCCACACCAAAGCCTGTGGCGCGCTCACCCTGTGGGCGAAGAGCAGGCTGGGAACCCTCTGCCAGGCGGAGCCAGACCCCTCAGCAAGCCCATCCCTGCAGGAAGGGGCTCCCGGTCCACCCCCACTTGCCCTGTGGCCCCCCCTTCCTGCCATCCTGTCACACTCGGGACTGACTGGGGGGCAGGGTGGTGGAACGGTTCTGTGCGCTCTGGTCCCAAGCCCCAGGTCTTCGTGGGTGGGAAATGGGGAGCTGAGGGCCCTGGGCCTCCAGCTGAGGACAGGCTGGCTGGAGAAGGGCCGCACACAGCAGGCACTCTGTGCCCGGGGCCAGGGAGACCAGAGGTTGGGGGCACAACTGGCCGGAGGTCAGGCCACAGGCAGTGCGACCCCCATCCCATGAGGCTTCGGATGAGCTCAGCCTGGAGCCAGAGAGGGGCTGTGGATGCATGCGAGGCGGGAGCAGCCCGGCCGGTGTGCGGGGTGCGCAGGGGGGTCGGGGTCGGGGGCAGGGGGGAGAGGAGAGCGCCACGGGGGAGCCTGGACTCACGGCATGCACCGGGGCGGCGATGTCCAGGTGGACCCAGACGCCAGGCCAGTCAAAGCCGATGTGTGAGGCGATGAAAAGGCCAGCACAGGAACTGGGGCTGTTGTCCCGGTCCTGGGGGGACAGCAGGGCACACGGTGACCTTTCCGTTCCCGGCAGTGGGGGCGTGGGGAAGGGCCTCCACCTAAGGGCATTTGGGGCTGCTTCCCCTGGACCCGAGTGGGCGCCCCCGTGCCCTCTCGAGCACACCAGCCTCAGCCACCGCCTCCCCTGGTGGCTACAAGAAGGGTCCGACCGTGTCGGGAGACTGCGGAGAGGGGCCCCGAGGACCTTGCATGTGGGTTAAGGGGTCTGCCTTCTCCCCGGGGCGACGGTGGGGCTGGAGAAGGAGCGGACGCCAGAGCAGGGAGGGGACCCCCGGCGCCCGACCTGGTGGATGCGCTGGCGGGGAGACCAGTGAGAGACACGTCCCCGCTCTGGACGCTTCCAGCCTGAGCATGGATCTGGGGCCCCGCTGCAGGGGGACCCTCGTCCACACCGCTGCCATGTCTTGGGGTCCCCCGGGCTCCCCGAGAGCAGTGCTCCGCCTGCCCCCTCCGCCCCGCACGGGCACCACTGACACCTACCGCCACGGAGTTCTTCATGTCGGCCACGGCCGAGGTGAACTCGCTGAAGTGCAGCTCGGGGCAGTAGACCAGGGGGTGCACCAGGTCCCCGCACCTCCTCCCGGCCTTCACGCAGGCCGCCTCCCACTCCGCGCTGTTGGTGAGCACGGCGGCGTGGTACTTGCCCGTGGCAATGCCCTGGGAGGGTGGCCAGCCGGAGGGAGGGCCGGAGCCGCAGGCGGAAGATGGAGCAGCGGGGAGGGGCAGCGAGAAGCGAGGGAGGGAAGGAACGAGAGCGTGAGCGCGCCACCAGGGGGACGCTTCCTAAGCTGTCTGGGCGCTGGGACCCAGCCCACGGGTTCTGCCACCTGCACCGCGCTGGATGCCAGGGACGAGCTCCCTGCCCCTCGGCCAGGCCGTGACGATTAGGGGATCGCACCAGCACCCCCCACCCCAGAGTCAAGGTGGCCCACCTGAGCTCCGGTCAGTGTGGCCACGTCCAGGATGATGTCGGCACCCAGGTCCTTGCAGGCGTAGGACACACCATCCGCCAGCACCAGCCTGCCCTCTGCGTCAGTGTTGTTGATTTCCACAGTCCTGGGGCGCAGCAGAGACCCCGGCTCAGGGATCGTGCTCCCTGGGGCACCGCGAGCAAGTCCCTTTGGAACTGGGAGACTCCATTTTGAGCCCTCTTCCCTCTAGCTCCCGTCTCGGGGGGCCCCTCCTGTCCCCTGCAGCAGTGCAGTGCCAGGGGCCAGAGCAAAGGGCAGCAGGTCAATCCGACCCCACTGCCCTCCTGCTGGGAGCCAGGGAAAGTCGCCCAGCCCCTGTGCCTCAGTTTCTTCATCTGTAAGATGGGAGAACAGGGTTGTGTGGGCAGCGTAAACTGCGCTGGGCCAGCCCTTGGCCCCCAATGCCAGGCACTGGGTAAATGCAGAAAGGGAAGCACCTCTGGGGGTCTCCCTGGGGACAGGCACCCTTGTATGGGGAGCTGAGTGGACTCTCCTATTGTGAATCTGGGCCACCTGCTCCTCCAGCGGCTGCCCACTGACTTCTAGGCATGTCCTTACGCTGAGAAGAAACAGTCCAAGGGCTGACCTCAAGGGGGAAATGCAGGGAGGGCCCCCAAGTAGGGAATCGGTGGGGGGGGGGCGGGCAGGGCTTCAGATGCACAAAGAACTTTAAGCTTAAAGGTTGGGAAGGGCTCATCCCATTAAGGCAGGGTGGATCCTATGCCAGGCACCTTGAGGGAGCCCAACAGCTTGTCCAGTGATGCGGCCAACACCCCCTGGGCCCCTGGGAGCAAGCAGCCCACTGCCCAGGGGCCCCTGTGACAGGGCATCCTCCCCACAGGATGTGCCTCTGGCTGGAGTGAGCCGGGTGAAATCAGCCCCCCGGCTGACCAGCCTAGCCCTGGGAAGGAGAGGGGCCCCCTAAGAGTTCTAGCCCAGAAGGCAGCCAATGAGTGAGGAGAGCCAGCCTTACTTTCCTGAGTACAGCAGGTGGATATCGTCTGGCCTCGTAGAGTTGGGACCCACAGAGTTTTCGGCCAAGCAGAACACAGCGTGGAGGTTGTCTTTGAAACCCTGGAGGGAACATGGGCAGAGGCTCCTGCTACCGGTGGCCGTGCTTGGAGGAGGGAGGATAGGCCAGAGCCTCCCACCCCCATGGACAGACAGAGCCCAGGGAGCAGAGAACAGACTCCCCAGCAGTTCTGGCAGCAGCCCATCTGGGGAGTCTTGCCTCCTCCATCAGAGCCCAACAATGTAGAAATGAGCCCAGGAGTGGGGCTGGGCTCCCGCTTTAATCCTGGCTCAACCACTTACCCGGGGCACGAGCCAGGCTGCCAGCTCAGCCCCTGCCTCCTGTCCACAAAACGTGGTCAGCGATCAATGTCTCTCACTGCACAAACCCTCTGAGCTCGGCACAGCTGCACAAAGCAAGTCACACGCACACAGGTACATGGGGGTTGGGAGAACCTGCCTCACAGAAATTTAGGTGTGAAGTTAGTTTTCTGATGCCCAAACATGACGTTGGCACATTGAGAAATGTGCACGAAACAGGCGGAGGCAGTTTCTGCCCCACACGGGTCCTCAGCCTGCCCAAGAAAACCCCAAGGCGGCCTTGCCCGGGTGGCAGTGGTGGGGGGAGTGGCGTCCCACACCCCGTCCCTGCGCGTCCTCTCCTCCCGGACCCGAGCCCTTAACCAGGACGCGTCTCCTCTGGGCACGGGGCACGCCAGGCCCCTTCCCGCCGCCTCCAGGCTCTCACACGCAGCTGTCAGGTGCGGCCTTATCTCTGCAACAGGTGAGTCTTCCACCACAGGTGCAGAGCCCCCAGGGAAGGTAAACACAGGCCTGCTGCACGGGCTGGGCCGTGGCCCCGGGCTGGGACGGCTTTGAGCCTGAGCCCGACACCCAGCGCCTGGGAAAGCCCCCCCTCGCTTCCCGGGGAACATGACACCAGGCAGCCCGTCAACTCGAAGACCCCTCCAAGAGTGGCTGGGATTAAATGAATTGTGACAACATGTGGCCTTGAAACAACAGGGTGGCCCCAGGGGCTCTGAAGCTAGAGAGGCAGGTGGACCTCGCCAGGGAAGGCGGGGAGCCCCGACGTCTTCCCAGAGAGAGCCATGTCAGGTCTGGGCCCGGAGGCGAGAGGAGTTTGCGGAGCACGTGCAAGCATTATGTTGTGGCAGGATAGCGGGGTGGTGAGGAGAGACCACGGTCCCCAACCTGACCCTGTCAGATGCCCACCCCCCGATTTTGGATTCAGGTCTGGGGTGCTGCTGATTCTGGTGTGGGGTCCCCCTTGGGAAGGTGGCTTAGAGGGTGCTGCGAGCCTTGGGCAGGTGGTTCTGAGCTCACGTGGCAGGTATTGGGGTGCAGGGGTGAGACACACAGGTCTTGGGATCCCCAGGGGGACTGAAAAGCAGCTGCGGGCGGCTGAGGTTTTAGGTATGTGAGGCTTGGAGGGTCACGGCCGCCCCAGCACCAGGTGCTCCCTGCTCCCAGCAAGCCCAACATCGCATCGCACATCCTCTCCTTTTAAAAACTGTTAGAACGTCTAATTTTGAAAAAATTTCAAACTTAAAGTTTGGCAAAAATGGTACAAACAATCCTTGGATACCCCTGACTGTGACCCCCACGCCCTCCAGTGGCAACACCTGGCATGCCCCGTGAGCTGGTCTGCACTGGGGAGTCATCACTGACTTGGGGATCGGATCTAGTCCGGGCACACAGACTTGGCCGTCACCTCAGTCTCCTCAATCTGGGACTCCTGAGATCCACCCTCCGTCTTTGGTGCCCTCACGCCTCGCTGTCTCCTGGGGCCTGCACTCCCCACCTGCGCTCGGCCGGATGCCCAGAGACCCCCCCATGTTCTTCCTGGGACTTTGTCTCAGAGGTGTGATGCCGCGAGGACACAGTGACCCCGCCGGGCAGAGTCCCTCTAAGTCACTCCCGGCCATGCCAGCTGTCCTACTCCCACGACATTTCTGCACTTGGGTTCCAGCAGCTCTTGCTCGCTTCTAGAGTGCTGTCTGCGCCGCAGTGACGTGCTGTGTCCATCCCTCCTCTGCAGTGGGCATGGGGAGGTTCTCGGGAGAAACAGTGCTCCTCTCCTCTACTTACTTATTCATTCAACGCTTGGTTCCTACTTATGGGTGTGCAGATTCTTAGTTTACTCTGTGGGTTCTAAGCATCCCCACCATTATTTATTGTGTGGCTCACATCAAGGCCTACAAAAATTGCAGTTACACTCTATAGAAAGGACCCAAATAAATAAAATCATGAATGAAAGAGGAGAGATCACAACCAACACCGAAGACATACAATTATAACAACATATTATGGGCAACTATGTGCCAACAAATTAGGCAATCTGGAAGAAATGGATGCATTTCTAGAGACATATAAACTACCAAAACTGAACCAGGAAGAAATAGAAAACCTGAACAGACCCATAACCAGCAAGGATATTGAAGCAGTCATCAAAAATCTCCCAACAAACAAGAGCCAGGGCCAGATGGCTTCCCAGGGGAATTCTACCAAACATTTAAAGAAGAATTAATATCTATTCTTCTGAAGCGGTTTCAAAGAATAGAAATGGAAGGAAAACTTCCAAACTCTTTCTATGAGGCCAGTATTACCTTGATCCCAAAACCAGATAAAAACCCCACCAAAAAGGAGAATTACAGACCAATATCCCTGATGAATATGGATGCCAAAATTCTCACCAAATACTAGCCAATAGGATCCAACAGCACATTAAAAGGATTATTCACCACCACCAAGTGGGATTTATCCCTGGGCTGCAAGGTTGGTTCAACATCCGCAAATCAGTCAATGTGATGTACCACAATAATAAAAGAAAGAACAAGAACCATATGATCCTCTCAATAGATGCAGAAAAAGCATTTGACAAAGTACAGCATCCTTTCTTGATTAAAACTCTTCACAGTGTACAGATAGAGGGAATATACCTCAAAAGCCATATATGAAAAGCCCATAGCAAATATCATTCTCAATGGGAGAAAAACTGAGAGCTTTTCCCCTAAGGTCAGGAACGCAGCAGGGATGCCCACTCTCACCACTGCTATTCAACATAGTACTAGAAGTCCTAGCCACAGCAATCAGACAACAAAAAGAAATAAAAGGCATCCAAACTGCCAAAGAAGAAGTCAAACTCTCACTCTTGGCAGATGACATAATACTCCATGTGGAAAACCCAAAAGATTCCACCATAAAATTGCTAGAAGTCATACAGGAATTCAGCAAAGTGGCAGGAGATAAAATCAATGCACAGAAATCAGTTGCATTTCTATACACTAACAATGAGACAGATGAAAAAGAAATTAAGGAGTCGATCCCATTTACAACTGCACCCAAAACCATAAGATACCTAGGAATAAACCTAACCAAAGAGGTAAAGGATCTATACTCTGAAAACTATTGAACACTCGTGAAAGAAATTGAGGAAGACACAAAGAAATGGAAAAACATTCCATGCTCATGGATTGGAAGAACAAATATTGTTAAAATACCTATGCTACCCACAGCAGTCTACACATTCAATACAATCCCTATCAAAATACCATCCACTTTTTTCAAAGAAATGGAACAAATAATCCTAAAATTTGTATGGAACCAGAAAAGACCCCGCATAGCCAGAGGAATGTTGAAAA